TAGAAACTTAGAATTTGTTTTATTATCGATTTCACATTTTGTAAAACTTTAACGAATTTTTGATTAACAAAGTCAAGGATTTTAAAGCGAGCCATGGCAACGTTGTACAGAAAAAAACATTTTTATCTCCAGCTCGCGAGTCTCTGTATCGCAAATTCTAAAGATATGCTCATTTTTAAAACTATTTTGCGATATTGCTGTTGAACTGAATTTTATGGTTTTATGTGCGAAGAACGTGATATTTAATGAATAAATGCAACACAAAAAATGTTAAAAAAACGCCCCTTTGGACGTAATTTAAAATCTGAAACCTTTCAGATTTTTATGTTTTGTTTATTTTATTTTATTTATTTTTCCTTTTTTTGTTGTGTATATAGAACTTATAAATTTTGCTTTGGCCGCAGCTTGCTAGTTTTTAAAATATTATTTGATTAATTGTTAAATGGTTCGTTTTGCAATGTACGTGGTATTCGAAAAATTCTTTTAAATTCTGATCTGTGAACATTGCTTGTAATCCCAAAGCTGCGTAAAACAAAGTTTGAAGATCCGTGGTTTAAGTATAAGAGCTGATATCATTTAAGCACTGGTACATTCTTGAATGCAACTAAATTAAGATCTTAACGTTGTTCTCTATTTTTTTTTTCTTTTTACGCTTATTAGCACCTTTTTCTTAACAAAAACTTTATTATTATCTGTGCATTTAAACCGTAGCAAAAAAAAGTAACAATATCATTTATTCTTTTTACAGAAACATTGCATTTCTTATTTACTGCGTTTTCGGTACTAAGGATAAAATATCGATTTTATGAAAGGATATATATTGTCGCTGCTTTGGTAATGAGAGCCCGTTTGTCATCCAGATCGCAAACACATGTCTCATAAAACCTCTTCACTACTGGTTGTCGTCTAGTAATACCACAAAAGTCCACCCCCCACCAAACCAACCCTAACAAGTTACAGGTTTATGGTCTCGTAAAGCGGAATAATCACTTTCGCCCTAGCCCGAGACGTAGACATGACTTGCCCCTCCTTCCTTACCGGAGTTTATGGACTTAACTTATTGGGGAACAACATTCTGGAAGAATCCATTACTTTTCCTTTCAGCGAATGCCTATCTACAGGTGTTCTGTTGTACTTTCATCCCAGTGGACCCGAGCAGGAAATAAACGAACTATATTTTCTAGTTTTTTGTATTTGTGTACAGCTTACCATTCTTTACCAATGATTTATCTGATTCTCATATTAGTAACCTGAGTAGTTATTAAAATTATAACTTATGTATAATTAATGGAAAGAATAATAGCTACAGCAGTAGTGTAGATTGAAATATAGTGAATACACTCCTGCTACTCCTCCTGCCTTCATCCTTCACTTATGAAGATAAGCTACTTTTCGAAGCAGACAAAATGAAGAATTAGCAACGCCTTCGCCGGGAGTCGAACCACGGACATCTGGAATACAGGCCCAGCGTGCAGAACCACTACACCACGAAGACACGCTAGGAAGACGGGAGAAATACCTTATAAATTATAGACATTTTTTACCTGCACTTCATTTAAATTTATATCCGCGAATTATTTCATCTTAATTAACTGATACCTCAAAACAAATTGAAAATGACATCAAAATATTCTGTCCTTACGTAGAGACAAATGGTAGTGAAACTGGATTCAGAAATGTCAAAATGGATATTTCCTTTGAAATCTGAAACCCGAAATTTTTCGCAATTACAATACTTCCTTTATTTCGTACAAGGAAGTAAAAATCGGAAACCGTCCATTTTTCTGCCGCGGTTGCTTATTGAAAATTCAGAATTTGTTGCTGAAATAAGTTTGTCTGTAAGTACACTCAGTCAGTAAACACAGTCAGTCAGTACACAGTCAGTAAGACTTTGCTCTGGGAGTAATTTTAGTGCTCTGCGATATTCTTTGTGTGATATAGAAAATTTGTCTTTATACACTTGGTAGACCATAACTGTCCTTCAAATACACTACAAACGGCGAATCACTTACTGTTCTTTAAATATCAACGTACAAGTTTTCATGTGGGTTTTGTGAAAAATTATTGTTGAGATCAATCATTTTATGTGAAAAAAATAGTTTTTTTTTTCACATAAAATTATTGTTGCTGAAAATATCACATTTAAGTAAATTTGATAAGTATATGAGTTTACTTGATTGTATTTTCGTTTTGATGTATTTTACAATATTATGTGTGGTTTTTGTATATTTATTTATTCACATATAATAGACTTTACATAATAATTTCATTGTGCATTTTTTTAAAATTCGAATTCGAGATCACTTATTACGTTTATATGTTCATTTTATCTATTTTATGAGGGATATCTGATATTTGTTAAGATTAATTTTTTGTTAATTTGGAAATATTCTCTAAGATTCCAGAAAGCTCATTTTAAAGTCGTAAGTGCAATTTTTCTGGAAGCTTCTAGATGTGCTGGGTTACACTATTAATATGGCTGCGTTTAGATAATAAGCAGCTTCGGCCTGGCTTCGGCTCAGAGTCAAGCAATGACTTTGCTCTGGGAGTAATTTTAGTGCTCTGCGATATTCTTTGTGTGATATAGAGAATTTGTCTTTATTTGTCGTTCTTCTTGGGCTAATTATAACTTTTTGTTGTTTTTGTACGAACTGTGGTTTCTTTCGATAAAATGACTTTCTTCCGACCCTAATGTTTAACTTCTTTAATTCTGTACAAGTTTGAGTTTGATTTTTTATATAAGCTGATTTATTTAAATTTAAAAATGGCAAAATGCAAATTTTTGTATCATTTAAGACATTTCTGAAATTGGAAGTATATGTTTACGTCCAACAGTAGCAAAAATAAAGGACGGGTAAGGACTTTTGTGGACACCGTGTACATGAATTCACTCTACCATGTACACTACGAAAAAAAAAAAGAAAAAGGGAGGCGGGGGACAGTTCTATATCTCCTGTTCTACTGGGCCGATTGACAAAATTCAAATTGCGTTTTTCATGTCTCGAAAGCGCGACTTAGGATATATATTAGATGTATATAGCATTGTTCTAAGGATATATATTAGATTTATATATAGCATTCTAACATAAGCATTTTGACACAAAATCTCACTTTTTCTGAAATAATATATCAATTTTTGGTACTTTTCCGTTTTGCCGGCGCAAGCGATAAAGTAGCCAATAATGGTACAACCGATGCGAAACGGAATATTCTCGCTGGTAACCTTTTACGCCTCATTCAAAACGCGGCAGTTTTTCTTATCAGCTTGATTGTTTCTTTCAATACTGCATATAGTTACAATTTTTATAGATAGTTCATTTTATGTCCAAGGCCATTTTCGGTAATTAAGTCAATTAGGATTCTTTCAATAGACATATTTTACTAAGAATTTTGCGTTCATTTTTGTAAAGGCCATTCGAAGCAATTAGGATGCAATCACAGCGCTTACGAAGCCGAAAATAAGAAAAAAAGTAGAAGAGTTAAAGTTCATCAATTCTATGAGATACATTAGCGAAGTAAAGTACTGCAGTTTTACATAATTTCTGAGTAAGCTATTCGTACGAATTGAAATATTTCTTGCATTTAAACTTGTATTCCAAATTAAGATTTAACTTGTCATTAATGTATAATTAATGAGAGAATTAGATTTTTGTAGCGTAGTTTACATGAGATGAGATCAGGTGGGGTCATGTGATACAAACCGACAAATCAGGATGTTGAACCATGAAAACAGTAAATTCTTAATGTCTTTTTATAAATTTACTGCCTTTATTTATTGGCTTTTTACAAAATTTTAAAAGATATTAAAATGTTTATGCCTTTAAAAAAAGAATTCTTAAAACTAACATTTTTTTAAATATTTTTTATGTGTATACTGTATGTTGTCGCCAATAAAGTCTGCTTGGCGAGATTTGCGCCGGCGAAACGGAAAAGTACCCAATTTTTTTCCATATTTCGATTCTACGACTCAAATTATGCCTAGATATTAAATTTGTAAAATTTGCTGCGAAATTTACGGAGAAATTAAAAAATTTATCCTGGCGTATTTTTTACAGTTTGTGCCCAGAATAATTCACTTGGCGAACTTTTTAATTTATGGCAACCTATTTTCCTTTTCCTTTTTACATTGTGCACGAGGAGGAAAAAGCTGCATCGTTCCTACTTTCAAATAATTTTAATAAAGTGCCTGAACCACATTTAATGTTTTATCGCTTTCAAAAAAATATGCCAAATTTCAAAACCCGCCACTATATAAATTTACGTGTATGTTCGGAAATTTTGAATAAAAACTCTAATTTTTGACTTAGAAATACATCTACTTTAAGACGATGGTAAAAGTTTTATAGGTTACAATCCAAATTTGTTTCGAAAAATTTATAAAAATTATTTTAAAATACAAATTTTAAAAACAAATCGTAAAAGATTAGTGAAATTTTATTTGGTATGAACCTAAATTTCAAAATATGACTGGAAAAATTAAATAAGTTTAATAAAAAAGGAGAGATTAATAAATATATACCAAATTCAATTAACACTGAGCAGCTAAAATTTTGAAAGCTAATTTCTGAAAAACTACTAGTGCGATTTTTACGAAACTTGGCAGTTTGGCATAATGTGAGTCGTAGAATGGAAATATGGAAAAAAAATTGGCATGTCATTTCAGAAAAAGTTCGATTTTTGTGTCAAAATACCTATATTCAAACAATGCTGTACATAAATCTAATACATATCCCAAGTCGGGCTTTCGAGACATGAAAAACGAAGTTGAATTTCGTCGATCGGCCCAGTAGAACTGAAAATATAGAACTGTCTTTTTTTTTTTTTTTTTCCCTCCCCCGCAGTGTACATTTTTAAAACCTGAAAGTATAAATACATTGAAAAATAGAAATTTGTATTAGAAACAGTGTTAATTTTCATTTGTGGCCCATTGGATAGGTCCTTTAGCACATTCTTAGCTTCGCTGTACATAAGAAAAATAAGAGATGAGACAATTACTTTACCTAGATTGCTTTCGCTGTCTTTTATCCAATCAGCGGCAGCCACTTTGACAGAGAAAATTTCCCATCCTGTGGAGTGGACGCTTAAGCGCCTCGTCTCTAGCAATCTTTTTCTTCTTTTTCTTTTCGATTTCGCCGGTGGTAACATTTGAAAAATCTTTACCTGCAGTGAAAGAACACATAAAGCAAATGTTGCATATGATTCACATAAAGTTTATCTACAAGTCACAATCCCAAGAATTCTTTAAAAAAATTTCCGTGAGGTTTCAGACACGGTGTCAACTTTGCTCAAGGCTAGGGATCTTCAACCTTTGACGCCCGAGGGCCACATCAATAAATTCACATAGATCCGCGGGCCACATGTCTGTCAAAAAAATAGTGTAGTCAAAAAATTTATATATAAAAAAAGAGGTTTGTTCTGCAAGACTACAGCTGATTCTAAGCGAAGAGATAGTGTTACCCAGATTTGTATATATATATATATATATATATATATATTATACACACTGGTTGTAAAAATCAACTGGAAATCGAATTAATTTGTTTTAAATCTTTTTTAACTATGAAAAAAAGTATATATATGCTTATACAGAACAATGTTACAAAATGCATTTGTAATGAAAAAAGAAGAAAAAAAATTACATTACTGTTCGGAGATGGTAGTTACTTTAGTTTTAATGTGAAATTTGACGTTGTTTTTGCTTGATTAAAGCTTCAATATCCGGTTAAATCTGTATTGTTGCGCAATATGCCCGTATCGAGTTTGCTTCCAATTACAGCATGCAAGTATGCGAAAAGCAGGGAGAAAATACCTTATACGGTTAAGAAAATATTTTTGCAAAGAGATTATCTCAGGAGTTCTCTTGAGCTTCCCAACTTGTGTACACGTTCTTTTTATCTTGAATTTGTAACGCATTAATATGCTCTGGAGTTCGAATTTTCGTTAATCTGTATGTATAAAGAAGAATGTCTGTGTGTTTGTTCGAGATTAACTCAGTCACTACTATAGGTATCGTCACCAAACTTTCTACAATTCTTTTTTGGGTCCTGGAAAAGGTCGACGTTCACTTTTTTTGAAAGAAAAAAAATAGCTAAAATATATTAAAATAAAAAAATATTAAAATAAAAAATAGCTAAATAGATATTAATTAAAAGCGCTGAAAACGCTAATCTTCGCTCTCATGTTTCTGAGTGGCAACAGTTTCGCACGCTGGAGATAAAAATCTGCTTTATTTCGAAAAGTGTTGCCACTGCTCGCTTTCAAATTGTAGATTTTGTTAATAAAAAATGTATAAGTTTTACAATGAAATAAAAATAGCATTGCAAAACATTAAATACATTATTGCCAAAAACTCTAAAAACACTAAATTTTCCGAGTGGCAACAGTCTCACGTATTAGAGATAAGAATGCTTTATTTTGAAAAGTGTTGCTACTGTTCGCTTCCAAATTGTAGAGTTTGTTAATCTAAAATTTGTAAGCTTTACAAAATCTCTCTATATAAATAAGAATGCCTGTTTGTGTGTTCGCGTTGTTGATTTCTGACCAATTATGATCCAATTTTTGCTACACTTAATCGACTAAAATTGAATATAGATGAAATGTTGCGTGGAACTTGAGCTTTAACGACCATTTGATTAGAAAGACGAAAATCATTGAAAAATGCGTGCCATTGTTGCCGATGTAATGAAACAGAATTAGTTTATTTTCTGTCGAAATTTTTTATGTGGGTTCGATATCGCATCAGACTGAAAAATGTATGACTATGAATCGTATTTTTTGCATCGTTATTAGAGAAGGATTACAGCGATATCGTTCTGTCTGTTCTTAGGTACATTACTCTCAATCTAACTTAACTGGCATCGGGTACTTTCGCTAGTATATTATAATTATGTACTTTTTGTTATTTTCTTACATTAACCGACGCCTGCAGAATAATGACTAATGGGCTGCATGCAAACAGCGGGTCGCGTGTTTGATTTTGGTGTTAAAAAAATAAGCAAGGAACGCTAAAAGAAAAGGTACGAAAGTAAAAGGGGGAATTTAAACTTTCAATTTAGTACGTATCAGGTAGAAATTACAATGCCGAATGCAAAATGGCAACCAAAGCAACACTTAACTTCATCAATTTTATGTTTAAACATTATTTAAGCCAATAGTGATGACTTCTCTAAGCATCAGTTGAGGCCTATTTTTAAACTTTATCTGAGTTAATAAGGGCTTCTATACATTCTCCTCCTGGTTTTGTAGAACTTTAAAAGACTTAGTGATAGTACATTAAACAGGGCGCGCGTACATTTTATGACAAGAAAGAATACACGACGTTACAAAGTAATCTCATGAGCAACCAAGGTGTTTCAGACGCAAAATATATTTTGCTCTCGAAGAAAATGGACCTTTTTTTTTTTTTTAATGATGCAAAAATGCAGCTTTACATTGTTTAAGATTTTCTGTTGATATCAAGAGTGATCAGCCACTGATTTAACTGGCCTTAAGGAGTCAATTATTTTTTTGCTTCTGAAGTATTTTCTTGCTCTTGAAGAACAGGACTTCATGTCGGATGATTCTCGACATTTATGGAGTTTTATGCAAAACCTACTCAAATGTGAGGTTGCTTTTTACTGATTTTAAAGCACGCAAATGTCGATGCGAAGTTTAAATTACTCTTTACGAAATTCTTAGATTTCTAAGATTTGGGAAAATCTTATCTCTGAAATCGATATAGAACGCAATTTCTCTGATGCGCTTCTCTTTCGTCTGCTGAAGCAAAAATGTTGGAATCGTCCGATAATACCATTCCTGGTAATCAAACAAACAACCTTAAGCACAGTTATATAGGCAGCTGTCGTAGCCGACAAGGGAACCTTTTGACCATCAAACTGTCAAACATTATGTCATAATTGCGAGAGTTTCGTGCAAAGGAAGACTATTAAGCGTAATTATTGCTTCAGTGATCCTTGAGATGGAACACATTTGCATATTCATGTCCACTAAGAGGACACTTCCTGTTCGCAGACATAACCAGATTATAGGGTTTGAAGTAAAATTTTCTTTCAGTAAGAAACGAAGTTTTTTTATTATCATTATCTGCATCAATAATGAAAAGTGTCTATGAAATTCATTCTATAGCTATACTGCGTGACCTTTACAAATATTATAAAAAATCCAGTATTTGAAAAGGTTATGCTTCATTGATCTCTAAATGAATATAATCAAACACTCAAAATCCTTGTTATTAATTGTTTTATCTTAAAGAAATGATGTAACTTGAAAAGGCAATCATTTTACTTCAGTATTATTGAATTGCAGACACACATGTATAAGATATTAAAAATATGTGACTGTCTGGTTTGGCAATTGAAAGGAATAACTAGTGAAATGGAGATTAAAAGACATAGAAAACTGCACACTTTTTTTTCATTTGTCATTGTCATTGATATAAAGATTCTGCTAAGTGTTTGAATCCGTTCTAATCAATTATTTTGACTCAGTTAAGTAGCTGGAAACGTTACAGTCTTGAACAATCTATTATTTTACCTTGGGGAATTTAAATTAGTATAAATTAAGTTAAGTAATTAATTATAGTTAAGGAGGACTAGAAACTACTTGACAATATGGTCTCTCGTAATAAATTATTTTGATGTTCAGAATGTTCAGATGATGTTCCGAACACTGAAAATGAATCTAAGGTTAACATAAATGAGCATAAAAAGATGATTTACCAAAGCTGATCGATGATATGTATGATAGAGAAGACTTATATAAAATAAGAATCTGGCAGTTTTTTATACTTTCTGTAGTTAAAGAAATTTTGCTGCAAGAAGTGTTTTAGTAAGCACCAGGAAGTTAAATGCAGTGAATTCCCGATAAATAAACCCTTATGTAAAAAAATTGTAATTTATTTACTCGTACTACTACATCAGCGCAAAACAAAACTGTCTACTTAAAATAAAAATTTTAAAAAATCTGAAGGGTTCCAGATTTTAAATTACGTCCAAAGGGGTGTTTTTTAACATTTTTTATGTTACCTTTATTTATTAAATATCATGCTCTTCACACTTAAACCATAAAATTCAGTTCAACAGCAATATCGCAAAATAATTTTAAAATGAGCATATCTTTAGAATTTCCGATATAGAGTCTCGCGCGCTGGAGATGATTTTTTTTTTTTTTTTTTTTTTTTTTTTTTTTTTAGCCGTATAGTGTTGCCATTGCTCACTTTCAAATCGTTTATTTTGTCAATCAAAAATTCGTATGGAGTGTTTGAAAAATCGATAATGCCAAACAAACTGAAATTTCATTCAAATTGGGACTTTCCACATGCCCATATTCTATGGAGATTACGGTTATTCAAACTTTGATGGCTCTAGGTACCGTTGTTTTATCACAATGCGAGATACATACATACATTTATGCAGATTCTTCATTATTTAATTTCTTTAAATATAGCACAGAGCTCTAATATTTGGTGGCAACAATTTGGAAAGTGAAACAACGCTTATCGTGAATCAACGCAAAATGCCAAAACGAAATTAATAGTCCTTATGGGCAAATTGCCCCTTTGGACTGAAAATAAAATGTTTGGGTCAACAAGAACGGCAAATGATGTCAGCCAGATAAACTGGCGCTAGTTCATTTGAATATGGCAAAGCACATAAGGGCTAACTGCCTACGAGTAGAGATGCTTTAATAGAGAATTTTTGGAGAAAACTGACTCGTATTCCATGTACAGAATGGGGAAACCATGGCTAAACCAACCACGCATCATGCCCGTTTGCGTGGGTTCGAGCCAAGGGTAAACTGCCCATTGTTCAGAAACCACGGAGGCAAACAATAGGAAGATCTAATTAGTAAGCGAGTTTGAAATCAAAAAGATCGCTCAAGTTCTGTTGTAAACATTGAGCTGCACTTCTTCCCAGCTAGCGAACTATTAATATAACAAAAACTATGTATGATAGCAATAAGGATTACAGTTTTGGAACTATGGACATAAGAACTTTCAAACTAATTTTAGTTTTAGTTTAATTTTAGTTCAAGTATAAAGTTTATAGAGACATTAGGTTATTTTTTATGCTGAGAGATGTGAAAAATGAGTAACGCCTTCGGGACTTCGAATACGCGTCCAGTGTGCTGACCACTACACTACGAAGGCATGCTAAGAAGGCGGGAGAAATACCTTATATATTCCCCCTTTTAAAGGGCGACTGGGAATTAGGGAACACGATCGCCAAATTCTGGAGGTGGAGAATCATCATTCATAACTCTTTTTAATTGGGCGTCACTGTAGAGACATTAGGTTATTTCGAAGCAGAATTCAGGAAAAATGAGTAACGCTTTTGCTGGGACACGGACCTCTCGAATACGCTAACCCACGTAGCTAGGTTACCATTTTTACTTACTACAAAGACTTGAACGCCAAATAATAATCGATTATTGCTCAGATTGAGATCACGTGATCCTTCAGAAGCAGAACTTTCGTCTGATTGGTTGATTCTACCCGGGACAGAGTTCCAGCCGAGACATTTTCGGTGAGGTTTGAAAAAAATCCCGCATAACCGTAACATAGTTTCCGTATCTAGGCTTGACTTCGCTTCCAGCAGGGCTCTTTTTTCTAGGAATCTTCCCGTTTAAACCAGTGCTACCAAAATCTCGTTTATAAGAAAAGTCCCGTCTAGCAAGGGCTTTTCAGAAACCTCTTCAGAAAAGTCTCGTCTAGCAGGAACCTTCGCTAGGTGTGATAACCTTTTAAAAGGGGAAGACATCATTCTACAAAATGAACGTGGGAGAAAAAAAAAAAAAAAAAAAAAAGAAGACGAAGAAAACATTGTCTAAAAACGTGGGAACAAATAAAGGAGAAAATATTGTCGAGGAAAAAAAAATTAAGCCGTTCAAAAAATTTGCTGTTTTAAAGTGTGCTCAGAGTTATTCATCAAGAAATAAAATTGTGTCTTGTTTATCTACACCAATGTCGGCAAGTTTTCTCTTATCCGCTGTGATATCTATTTGATGTACTTACATTACCTTGGAGTCCTCAAATCATTTACAGCGAATTATCATATATATGCTATATTATCATATAAATACTATATCATATATCGAATGACCATATAAATACTATATCACACAGGAAAGGTAATGCAAAATATATTATACACCATTCCCTCTCTTTGTCTCTCTTTCTTTCATATCTATAAAAAATAAAGGGTTCAGATATTTCAACCTAAAACCTCATTTTAAGTTTCTCAGCACTACATACTATTAGTTTCCAAGCTCTGTTTATTACTGTTATGATATGGGACCATTATTACAGTAAGACCTTTTTTATTTGGAATCTGTAATAACGCATCACTTGTGCACTACTGAGAAAAGAAAAATGCTAAAAGCAGATTGGAATCAAATTTACAGTTCTTGGCTTAATCGATCATGGCAAAGCGCTCGAGAGCTAATATGCTAAATATGGAGGGATGCCTTCATGGAGCTCTTTTTAAGGCAAACTGGCTTCTATTACATGTGGGGAAAACCACGAAAGCAGGATTCGAGTCCGGATCGAAATACAATGTTTAGTGATCGCATCCACTTAGCTACTAAAAAATTAATTATTTGAGACAAACACGAAGTCCATATTTATTTGCAAAGACAGTGCTAAACGCTGTATTTCACACCGTTATCACTGGGAAAACATGCCGAAACTTAGGCCTTTTTCTTTGTTGCTGTTTTTTGCTCCGCAACTGTAAGATGCAGATACTCAATCAACAGTTACCAGAGCACAACTCTCTGCACTCTGTTCCCATGAGGAAAATAGTATTGCTCTTATGCTTAAGTTGTCACTGCTTGTCCTCTGGAGGTGAAAATTTACTATCTGTGCACCACGTCCAAAGCCCGGGAGGGCTGGACAAAGGACCTAATTTAAACAATTGTTGTTGAGAAGAGCCTTGAAGGAATACATTGGAATGCTGTGTTGCTGCAAATGAACAGCGCATCATTAGCTTAAAAGTTGTACTGCATAAATTATAGGATTATTTACATCAATTTCATAGAACCCAATACCGTGCCAGATATTATACGAACTTTTTACAGAATGTATGTAAGTATAGAAATAATAATTCACATAAATATTTACTTATTATTTATAAAATAACGGTTTAGGCAACGTGAAGAAAATATGCGCATCACAGGGGATTAAACTTTATGCAAGACTAAGCAATGTACTGCGCAATGTATTGGATATGATTACGGTGCTAACAATCTAGAGACCATTAAGCATTGCATTTTGGAGCAGGGAACTTGAAAAATGCATTGCTCTCTCCGAGATTTGAACACCGGACTTCTCGATTGCTAGAGGGATGTACTTCCAATTACACCATGAAGACACGCAATAATGGGAGAAAATATCTTACAACAGGAGTTAACTTACATGATACAGTAGTATATGTAGATGTATGTAAGCATTACTTTGGCATTATGGATGAATTACTATATGAAACTAGGCTAATTACCATATTATTTAGCTTTTAACGCGGGTGTTTACAATGCTCCCAGACATCCAAATACAACGAGCTTTTACTGTAATTTCATCCATTTTGAAGTACCTTTCATTTAAAATTCTGTTCATTAAGAGGGTGTCAAATGTATAGATTCCTATTCGAACTCGTAGTTAGTTTTATTAAAGTAATAATATTTTATATGCTAAAATTCCGGAAGAGAATTTCTAGAACCACTGAATTACCCAATCTTCCGTCTAGGAAGTAAAAATGGAATTGATTTCTTTGAATTATCTTTTCATTCATTTATAAAGGAAATTAACTGCATCAAATTATTTACTTACTTCTAGTAACTGTGACTTTAACATCTTTGCTTTTCTCTGGTCTTTTGCTTTAGGTTTCATCTTGAAAATGTGAAATTCAGCTTCTAGTAATTTATCCGTTTTTTCCGACGAGACATTGAAGAAAAAGTGAGATCGATGTCTGGATTCTGAAAAATAAATAAATAAATAAATAAATAAATAAATAAAATAATGATTTTATAATTTGCTAGGCAATTTTTCAAGCAATATGTGCAAGGCTCATGAAAATGGCAGACAGAGTATTAAAATTAAAAAGGAAATTGGAATTCCTATGGATGAAATTGAATTCTTGAAACAGAAATTTACTCAGATTATAAATGCGTAAAAAATAATAATTACAAAAAGTTATAAATGTGTAAACGTCTGAACGTTCATTGGCATTCGACCCGAAACTAGCTGCCTATTTCTCCTATATTAATTTCAATATTATTCTAGCAAATGCGCTCTGGCTACTCCTCATTCTTGTTTGAGATGGGATGTGTGCTGTCTATACACAATGCTAATCAAGATCTGCCATTTCCAGTATGAGATTCACTTTAGCTCAAGCACCATCGTAAGTGCCTGAACTTTAAAAAAACATTCGCAGGAGAATACGCTTTTCCGAAATCAGTAGTCACGATGCAATAATTTCTGCTGGCAGTCTCAGAGGTATTGATCGCCAGTAGAAATTTTGTCCAGATTAATGGAGTTAAACGTGATCTGACAAGAAATGCCATTTAAGGAGAAAGAGGAAAAACAAAGGTATTGTAGTTCTCGCTTTCGTATTTAAGAAGAAAGCAAATTAAAAACATCGTTTCGGTAGATTAGTTGTTTTGACGAAGTTTCGGTACATTAGTTGTTTTGACAGTTCGCTTCTGCGAGATCAATTGCAATGGGATATTTATTAAGAATTATTCTGATAATCTGATTCTGATTATGCTGATAAACTGATTCTGATTATTCTAATAAAAGATTAATTTGCTTTCTTATTCAAAAAGAAAGCAAATTAAAAATAAGGTTCTAGTAACTTAATTGTTGTGACGAACAGTTTGCTTCTGCTAGACCATTCGCAATGGAACGTCTATCAAGAATATTTCTGACAAATTGGTTCTTATTCTGATAGACTGGCTTTTCTGACAAAATGATTCTGATAAACTGAATTTTTTTTATAAACGGATTCTGATTATTCTGATAGCCGATTAATTTGCATTTTTATTTAAAAAGAAAGCGAATTAAAACAAGGTTTCAGTAGATTAATTGTTATGACGAATAGTTAGCTTTTGCTAGATCATTTGCAATGGAACGCTTTTCAAGAATTACTCTAATAAACGGATTCTAATTATTCTGATAGTTTGGCCTTTCTGATAAAAGAATTCTGATAAACTGATTTAATATTATTTTTTCTTTGATAAACGGATTCTTTTTACTCTGAGAAATGATTAATTTCGAAAAGCTTATCAAGAATTATTGTGATAAACTGATTTTGATTATTCTGATAGATTGGCCTTTCTGACAAAATGATTCTGATTAATCTGATAAACTGATTTATTATGATTATTTTTTTTTACAAACGGATTCTAATTATTCTGATAGATGATAAATTAAAAGTAAGTTTCTAGTAGATTAATTATTGTGACGAATAGTTCGCTTCTGCTAGACCATTTGCAATGGAACGTTTATCAAGAATTATTCTGCCTGAATGTGTTTAATAATATTTTGATTTTTCATTTCTCTACAGCGTATTTATAACGTTGCATTCTAATTACACGAGTATACAATATACACTGCGCAGAACACGTTATGCATAATATGCACCACGCAGAAGCCTGGAAACAGACAAAATAACAGATAGTTGAAAAATTAGTAACTTTTTTCTCATTGCATCTCAGTGTTGGAACATTTGTTTATCTGCTCTAATATCTCATGCATGTTTCGCGTCAGCATCTGGCTATGTTTGAGGAGGAAGGCATTTATTTCAATTTCGCTGAGAGGTGGTTTTCCCCCATGTGTAACGTGTATACGAGCCAGTTTCCCTTAGAAAGTCCTTCACGAAGGCATCTCGCCCCTTAGGCAGATAGCCCTCGAGGCTTTGCCATAATCACACACACACACAATCCCGCTGAGAGAGAAATAAATAGTTTAAATTTCTACAATTGTATAAATAAAACCGTCATATCCGTGAGCAAATTTCATCAAGTTTTCAAAGGACCATACCCCATATTAGACTCATTTTCGGTTCGATATCACAACGGAGATTTTGAGCATCCCTGCACAGCGAGCTTTACTGTTAATCATGCGTACATAAAATGACTTCAGAATTGTACATCTCTTTCTAAGTTATAAATGATTATTCATACGAAATTTCATTAAAAATGTCCATTATGTTTTTCAGAAATCCGACATAATGTGAAAATTCTCTTAATTTTGCGCACGAGTGTATCATTTGAAGTGAATGTATTATTCAACTGTATTATTAAAAATGCATTATTAAAAGGTTGTCAACTTTTAACATAAAATGTTAGTTGCGAAATTACCAATTAGTATTTTAATTATTGTTTACTAAACTGTCTGCTCATTTGGTGCAAATCAAGATTTCCTGTAAGGCATTAACTAGCCCAAAACACTAACAGACTAGCCAGTTTGTATCCGACCTAAGTTCTCCCCACCTCACCCCGCACCGCCAAACACCTTTGCTATAACACGGGGGGGGGGGAATGGGGGACAGTTCCTATATCTCCCGTTCTACTGAGCCGATTGACGAAATTCAAATTGCGATCTTCATGTCTCGAAAGCGAGTCTTAGGATAGATATTAGATTTATATATAGCACTATTCTAACATAGGTATTTTGACTCGAAATCGAACTTTTTCTGAGATAGCATACCAATTTTTTTACATATTTCGATTCTACGACTGAAATTACGCCAAACTACCAAGTTTTGTAAAAATCGCACGAGTAGTTTTTAAAAAATTAGGTCTCAAAATTTTAGCTCCTCAGTGTTCATTGAATTTGGTATATATTTATTAATATCTCTTTTTTCATGAAATGTTTTTGATTCTTCTTTTCGCATATGGAAATTTAAGTTCATTCCAAATAAAATTCACCCATTTTTATGATTTATTTTTATAATTTGTATTTTTAATTATTATAAATTTTTCGAAAAACATTTTAAATTATAACCTGTAAAATTTTTACTGTCATCTTAAAGTAGGCGTATTTGTAAGCATACCTGCAAAAAATTAGACTTTTTTATTCAAAATTTTCTAAGATATACACGAATTTACATGTTTTAGCGTTTTGAAATTTGGCATCTTTTTTTTTAAGCGATAATAACGCCAAATGTAGAACGGGAGATATAGAACTGTCCCATTTTTTTTTTCCCGCAGTGTACATAGAATTAAAGGATAGCCTTCATAAAAAAAGTGGCAAATTTACTTATGGACTTTAGACAACTTAAATGGAATTTTAAGAGATACAAAATTAGTATTTTTTAATCCTATCAAAATTACTTCAAGTATTTACAAGTCGAGATTTAATGATCACCTACCCAAAATTCGAGAAGAAGTAATAAATGATGCATATGAATTACGGACATTGCTTATTTATTCTGAAGAATACTCAATTAAATATCCATCAATCGACTACACCATTCGTAACTTATATCTGTCCTATTTAGAGCATAATAATCATTTTGGCTTGAATTTATGATAGTCTGTCATTAATCATTCGTACCATAAATCTGATTCTCATTATTTTAATACATACTGGCAACAATTACAATTAATAATTCCAAGAAGGGAAAAACGGCAATCAAATTCAGCGTCACAGGTATAAAAAAATTGCAATGAAATAACACTTGATGGATTCATTTTTGCAGATCATTATGGTGTTTTTCCTAATGTACACTCAAAATAGCAATTAATAAAAAAAATTTTAAAAAGATGTTCTAATTTAAAATTAACATTTTTATAAAATCCAGTTATATTAATGCATAATCAACAAAAAGGCAGTAGCCCTTCTAGAATAAATTGAAATTAAGCATATCATACAGTTTATAACTTAAACAAGTTGTTTCTGGAATTCAAAACAACATTGACTTTTTCTATTAAACAGCATTTATTCACCCCAAAACATTACGAAAATTACAGATTTTTGTGAAAAACTGAAAGCAACCATTGCAATAGAAAATATTTTGTGGTGCTTGTTATGTCTTTTGAGAAGAAAACCAGTGAACTGAAGCTTCTTGCCAGAATGGTGGAGACTTCTCCAGATAATTGAATATATAATTCATAGACGTGACCTGTCAAATCACGATTAAACAGTCCCGACAAAGTCCCCCTGACAAAATAGCGCCAAACTAAACGGTCCATCCTTGACAAAATAGCCCCGAAGTAATAGCTAAGCCTAGTTATATATTATATCAAATTAATTACATTAAAATATATTAGTAAAAATGAATTTTGATAGTTCAAAATATTTACTAAAAAACGCATTTTAAAAATTGTATATGGACATATTAATAGAAATTCTAAATGCAGTTTGGCAGTTCTCTACAAGCCTTTATGGTTTCTGTTCCTTACCACATTCTTTATAAATTCCAATTTCAGATGCTTATTACATCTGGGACAGTGTTTACGGCGCGAAATGCAATAACTGAATTTGGTGAAAGCTTATGTAAATAATGAGAGTGTGCGTATTTATATAAAAATCTTCTTAGCGTTGAGTTTTGTACCAGTGCATGATGTTATCAGAGTATTTGAAGATCAATTACTACAGATAACTTATTTGGAAGTATAAGAGCGATAATTTTCATCTCCTTATTAGCAACGATTTAAGAAGAGATTTGCAGTTGTAATGTACACTTGATACAACAGGATCAATGCACTGTCTTTCGGACTCTTTTTAAATGAAAACAGGAAGAATACTTGTTCATGTTTTATGATGCGACCAGTAGAAATTTCAGCATGCGAAATCCGTCCGTAATGTGTTTGATCTAATGACCGCAATTAAATTAATAATATCGAAAATCATAGGGATTACTTTGTAGACTATACCTTTAGTTTTATGAACCAGTTATTTTATGCTAATTTGCTTTGCTGTCCTTCTCATTTTCTATTTTCCTGCCACAATGTAAATTTCTAACTCGCGA